GTAGATTTTTCCTGCCGAAGCTGGTCGTAACCCGAAATGTTCGTTAGTAGAGGCGTTCATATCCCGAGGTAGATTTTTCCTGCCGAAGCTGGTCGTAACCCGAAATGTTCGTTAGTAGAGGCGTTTGTATCCCGAGGTACCACTGTATTTGTTAATATCATTTAAAGCATTTTAATACATAGCCCATGCCACGGGACAGCTCCCACCAAAAGCCTTTCCACACTCTCCCGTGGCTTTAAGCACGTGAGAACCCTCAAAGCCATGATGCAAACATGGCTTGTAGAAGAACAACATGGGCAGAAACGCATGAATGAAAAAGTCCAGTTCCTGGGCAAGAGAAGCAGTGCCTTTGACAAGGATTTTATACACCATATGATGGTGGTTTTGGGATTCAGTTTTAATTTAGTATCAAGGCACAAAATTGAACCTGCGTTTAATTCTCAGCTGAACAGACCAAGAACAAAAACGATGTTCTTTAAACCTTCTTCGGCCAAATACTCCCCAATGAAGAACAGCAAGTATAGACCAGCACACATCAGATGGGTTCAGACCCCACACTAATCCAGGTCTGTTTAACCACGATTATTTGAACAGGCCTTGGCTGTTTTATTGCTTTACTACTATAAATCTAACTCAAGTCAACATGAACCAAAATCAATTTGGTCGATTAACTGCAAGCACTTAAAAAAAAAAAAAGCCCGATAGGTTAAAAGAAACAAACCTAAATCCTTTTGCAGCAAAAATAATAAAATGCAGATTAAATAACGTTTCTCATCTGAGTTACTGACAACCAGTAAAATATCTGTCTTCTTAAACCAAAGCAGTGCTGGTCTGACAGAGCATTGGCAGAGATTGCATGCAGATCCTTACATAGTTATGTCCTCATTTTCTCTAATTAGAAAGTTCTGTTGTCACAAATAATTGACTGACTAAAACATTACATATAAACAGGAGAGGAGGAAGGAGGAGGTCTTAATTCCCTTTTCAAGTCTTGGGGCATGTTGTCCGCAAACTATGCGACTTGACTAAATAAATAAAACGAACCCGATGGCCCCCAGTGAATTTCTCAGTCCATGCTGGGACCAATTTTTGTTGCTGTAAAGGATGTTCTTAGCATCCGGTCTAAATCTACTCTCAAATCCATTGTCTTCTGTCCTCATTTTTTTCCTCTTTTTCTCTTTTTTCTCCTTAATAACAGCTCACACACTGTTCCTTAAAGAAACACCTTCCAATGTTTTAATTATTTTTGCTGCCTTCCCTTCACAAATCCAAGAGTTACAGATTTAAATGCGGAAGGAGAGCAGCCAAAATTTCATTCACAAATAGCCACGTCTGACAATGAGATATCCTAGGGTCAAGCCAACGAGAACCCAGAATTATCAACCAATAATTACCCTTAACCATGTTATTACAATTAACAGCATGCCCTCTACAATACCATGTGTGTGTATGCTGTGTAAGAACACATCCTGATCTTGTTCATGGAATAATTACATGGGCTCCATTCTGCCAAATGAGACTGTAATTAACCCTAATTGCTCAAAACGTAACTTGGCTAATTCAAGGAGATCAATTACTATTAAATGACTTAATAAGACAAATTGCTGCATTAGAGAAGGGGCCGTGCACTGAGCACCCGCCTTTACAGGCAACTGTTTGTGCAAATTCCACAGCCGCGCTTGGGTTTTGCCGTCTTAATGAAGTCGCTCGGCACCAAACTCTCTCGGTGGGTACGTCGTCGCTCTCCCACCACTCCTCGGCACTGACAGGCTGCCAGCTCAGCTCTGAAAGGAAACCAGCGCTGCTTCTTGGGCGCGAGTGAATAATTCTCTTACTACACAACAATTTGATGGGCCATAATCAATCAATCAATAGACAAAGAACGGGGGGGGGGCTTTTCAGCCCAGAAAGAAGTAATGACACATGTTATGACCACCGGCGTCCAAAGAGCTGCAAATGAAGTACAGAGGAGAAGAACTGAACTCAGAGCCATGACGAAAACATGGTGGCAACTCCATGTTTTCAACTCAATGAGCTTGGCCAAGAACGAGGAGGAAAGGAAGTCAGAAAAGATGAGCTGAATTCCTTCTGGGAACACGTCGCCGTTTCCATGAACAATGGGGTTGGAGCTTAGCCACCTAAGGTGCTAAGATAGAGTCAATGGGATGTATGATGTAGGAATTCTTGCTTCAAGTACAATTTGGGAAATTGGCCATCCTTCCCTAAATTTGGGGGGAGGGAGGGAAAAAGATGTAGGCACTTCGAGCCTAATTCTGGGGATCTTTTTGCTTTAGCCTCCAAACTCATCAGCCTGAAAGAGCGTTCAGAGCGGGCACTTACTTGCGTGTCATGCTGATATTCTTGGCTTGTCACTTTGCAGAGCAGGTTCTGGTCCCCCAGATGGTGTGGATGGTTGTGTTGTCCTTCCATTGTAACATGCCAAGCTGTGTCTTTAAGCTGCACTGAAACAAGAACATCATGATGTCAAAGGAAGGAGACTCACAAGGCTGCATACAAGTGGACTGGAGGGAAGCGTCAAAGCTGTCACTTCCTTCAAGGACTGGAAGCAGAAGTCCTTCCCTTCCTCCTCCACAGGCGAAGCTCGGAGGTTGAGTTCTTGGTGTTCTCAGAGCTTGGTTGCTTTCCTGCAGATGGTTCCTTGCCAGCCTCGGGAACATCATCTATGCAGTGATGATGTTACCTAGCTGGTAAAGAAACATCTGCCGGAAACCATCTGAAAAAACCACCAAAGAAATGTCTGCGGGAGAACAGGAAATGCCAGCAGGAAAACAACCAAGCTTGGAGAACACCAAGAACCCAACAGTTCAACCTTTGAAAACCGTCTCTTTTCTACCGCTGGAAGCTCTGATGAGCACATAAACTCAACTTCCTAAAATGCAGTAATAGGAACCCTGGTCCCTTCTTCTCCTAGTGCTGTTCCCTTGTAATTTGCTGGTGGTTAATAACAACCACCCATTAAGAACCTCACAGAGCTTAAGTCGAGGGTGGGTGGGATGGAGCAAGATGGTGGAGAATCGCGCGAGTAGCAACACAGAAATACATAATTTCTCACTTACAGGATGACAGCTAGCCAAGGAAGAAAGCATTTCCCCAAGCAGATCGGCAAAGTAACTTTCAACATGAAGCACAGCATTACAGCTATTACCCCAACCATGTCCACGAACCAAAACAATAAATCTGAACGCTTTGGAAAGAGAAATGGAGCCCACAACACAAACTAAATGCATTTGGCTGCTCTTGGTCCATGTCTCTGGCTTTTCTGACAAGTATATGCCACTGGCAGGAAATCTCTCCAACTTTCCTGAAGTCAAAATATTTTGTGATGACACAATTATTCATCTGTGCACATATGAGGCCTTTCCACTTTCACACGCATCTCCCAGGCACGATCCGGAGAACGGTCTGAAGCTGCTTAGCGAGGGGAAGTTGTCTTCATCGTTAAAAAAAAAACCACGTGGACATGGAACCGCCAGAAGTGGCCCAGGGCCCACATCTGGGTGGTTGAATGCTGGACACTGGTCAGAATGTTTGGCTGGGAAGCATGGAGATACATAGTCCGACATTAAACTTTCTGTGAAAAAGGGAAAGCGTGGGGAACACAACGGGTTGGCCAAAAAATACAGCCTCCGAAGCAAGCAAACTGCACGTTATTGAACTGAACAAATAAATACACTCCTTGGCTTACTCACTACAGGAAATGATGTCACGGTTACAGCATAAAATCTCCCTAAAGTCCAAATACCAACCAGTTTTATAAACCAGATTAGATCGATGGCACATACCAACCTCTTGAGTCAACAACGCCACTAAATCGACTCCTATTTCAGAAGTGCTCCAATGCCCCCAAAGTCTATCGTGAAGGGCAAAGATGAGAGAACCAACTGGATTTAAAGAAACTCAGAAACGAAACCACAATTCCTACTTCGTCATTTCCCCTGGAGTGGCCAACGTTTCGCCATCCGCGCCATTGCTTTGCCCCAGATTTGGGGAGACTTAATTCTTCTGCCTGGGAAAGCCCCCAAGTTTGCAAAAAAAAGTACCCATGTCAGAAAAGCTCCAGAAACATTCTGCTTTGGCGAGGTTGGGTTCGGAAACTCCTTTGCTAAGGTGCCTCTGGCACCTTCGTGGCACAGTCCTGGCGCTGGTCCTCACTGACACACGGTCCAGTTCAAACCTGGCAGCTATTCTGGGATGTTGTGGGCAAACCTGCTCTAGGTAGGTGCTTAGCAAGTGCCAGGTCCTTTGATACCCAAGAAAACTCTGTATATATTGTGCTAACTTAGTGTTAAGCCATCTGCCATCATGGCACGTGGAAGTCGGACTATGTCTTAAAGTGACTTGTATATATTTGTGCAAACCCAGAAAAGCTGAATGTGTTCCTGACCTCAGTTAAACTGGATCGGCACTCAGTAATTTATATTTTCATTTTCCAGAGGTTAGTAAACAATCAGGCCTTTGCCAAACCTGATGTTTCAGCGACTTATTTCTGTCCCCAAAGTTCAGGACAGAAATAAATAGCAAAAACATCTAGCCTGACAAAAAGTATGATTGTTTACTACCACCTGAAAAAAAAATCATTATATTTTATTAACCTAGTTTAAACTTCAACAAACTGGGGGGGGGGGTTTACAATTTGGTCGTAACTCCCCTAATCAGGGGTCAGGCATTTCTTTACAGGGTTGAGTGCAATCAGTCTACGTAAGCAGCCAACTCTTTATTTTTAACGGTGGCATTTTCTCGCAACCGAGCCTTTTGCAAAAAGGAAACTGGACTGAACACGTCATCTTTTAGAGAACTATTTCTTCCCTAAGGAGTTGCAGGTAAGGGGTCTGCTCTGGCGTTTACCTGCAACAGAAAGAAGGCTGATCTTTCAAACAGAGCAGTTTGTTCTTTTAAAACCGATCCGCCCATTTGCTTCGCTGAATCTGGACGTTGCTCCCTTTCACAATACTCGTGCTAGTAGGGTTTTTGGAACGTCTACCGTCTGACTGACGCAGACACACCAATTTTCCTTCAAAGTAAATATTGCAGGGAACAAGGCCAAGTAAATCTTTTGCCACCCCCTGCAGGAGCCTGACAGGTGCGCTATGGAAATTAGAAAGGCCCAAGGCGGTTGGAAGCCAAGCCCGGGATCATCCGTTACAGATACCCATCAAAGGAAGCAGCTTCCATTTGTATCTGACGCATCGTGATGAATGCCCACGCTGCATTTTCTTCCCAAATCATGCTCGGTAACAGCTGGGATCAGCTTAATCGGATATAAACATCTACCTTTGGGTGCTCAGATCAAATCCACAGGCCAAATTATTCTCCCTGATGATCAGACAGCGAGAAATACCTTCCAAGCAGAAAACACAGCAGTGCGCTCGGTGCCCACGTGCCTTGCTTCCCTCTGCCAACACGCCTACCTTTTTGCTACATACACCCACCTGTTTTCCATATGGCTGGCACTCGGCTCTCCGGGGCCGGCCACGCAACTGAACAAGAGGAAAGCCGATCGAACAAGCATTTGGGCCATCGAGAATCAGCGCGCACTGAAAATGCTCCTTTTCTTTAATTAATCGGCTGTTTAATGGGGATGGCCTTTTCGTAGTCCTTCGTGCACAGCCTTCGTTTTAAGCCCTCTGAGGGCTGGGGACACAAAAGTCGCAATGGATCTCCATAATGCTCCAACAGAAGAGAGTATCTGTAGCTCGGGGCTGAATGGACTGCGAAGTCCTCGGCGCTCTCTGAGTTGGGCTGTTCGCACTGATGAAGTTGCCTAGTTGGGTAATGAAATGTCTGCAGGCCAACAGCCCAGCTGAGAGAGCACCAAGGACTCCACGCTCAATAACGCTATCCTCCACCATTCCTTCTTTAGCTTCTGCGATGCTGGGGAAAAGCTCAACCAACACAGCAAGAGAGCCGGGGACGGAGGGCCCGCGTGGGCACTATCGACCCTGAAATCTGGATCTGAGAATCTGAGGTGCCCCAGCCATGCCAGGGTTCAAGGCATGAACCGCGCAGCACACCTGGCAGGCAGCTGGTCTAGCCACACCATAATCTGAGTCCAAAAATGAGGGCAACTCGAAGCTATTATGCAACGCAGGCCAAAAAAAAAAAGCCGAGTTTCAGAACATTTCAGGAAAATGTTGTGCAACGGAGCCCCAGCAGAAGGTTCATCCGTGGGACATTCAAACAGGAGAATCTGGGAGGGGAAAGGTATGATCCAGAGACACGCACACCCCCCCGCCCACTCACATTCCCCCACTATCTGCTTTTTGCACCGGAGGTGGAGCAAGAAAAATGGGATCCTTTGTGCGGGGGCGGCTCATTAACAAGTCTTTTAGATATCTTTATCTAAGGCCAGATCGCTGGACTCTGCCTGTTGCGCATCATGTTAGAAAAAATGCAGCTTCGCAAGCTCATTAAAAAAACATCCGCATGTCCCACACAAGCAAAGGGCAGGACGAGGGGGCAGGAATATAATCTGGAGCAAAAGTGGGATTAGGGACAGTGCAAACAACCTCAAGAGTCAAGGATCACAGATATTCCCCAGAACGTGTGGGCGAATGCCAAACCGAGCTGCACTCCACATCTCCTTAACCTTGATGCAGGGTGGGGAAAGAATCCAGTTAGTCACCACCCCACTAAATGCACACTCTCTGGGCCCCCAACCCACCTCTACAAAAGGGAATCCATTCAGACGGTTCCAACAGAAGAGAACCTCTGTAGCTCAGGGTTGAACGGTGGAGTCCTTGGCGCTCTCTGAACCAGGCGGTTTGCCCGATGATGCTGGGTACTGAAACGTCTGCAAGCAAACCACCCAGCTCAGAGAGCGCTAAGGGCTCCATATTAAGAGGGTAGAAGAACATGTCTCTGAGGAGATACGTGGAACTGCAGAGAAGTCAGATGCATTCAACATGGCTCCTTCAATGGTTTTCCTGACGTCTCCCTCGAACTCTAAAGGAAGTTGAGTTTGGTGCCAGGGTGGTGAACTAGGGCCCGCTGCAGTCCAGTTCATAAGAACAGCTTCAGTCAGTCCTGTAAACAAATTGCCCCCCCATTCCTGGGGTGACAGGGAAGCCTAGCATCAACAGAACATGTATGGGAACATTACTAATGTGTATGTGGGGTCATTACTGGATGGGGTCAACCAGAAAGAAAGAACAGCTCATGAGAATGAAAACATTTCTCTTGCAGTTTGGCAGGATTGACCCTGACCTCCTCTCATTTGCCCCAAGAACCTAAGACTCACCACTTTACTGTGATGATGATCAGTGATCCGCACCTTCTAAACCCCTGCTAAAGACCATGCCTTAATTCTACCCCCCCACACTTTTTTATTAAAAAAAAACTTGTTCAGGATTAGGGCAAAATAGCCTAATCCCCATTTACTGAGGGCTCCAAGAAAAAGATTCAAAGTATTTTGAAACCAGGAGCCTCAAAACAACAAGCCTTTTCTCTTCCCATTGCGACCCAATAACGTTTTCTCATCTGCTCGTAAACCATCATCTGTCGAGATGCTATGCAAATTCTCCAATATTTTTAAATCATGGCCCCAACTTGACTCCGCATCATCTCTGGGCTGTGGATGAGGATCATAAGGCACCCACCCTACCCTGGGCAACTTATTTCTGAGCGACTTTTACGGCCTGTCATCTTATCGCATTTATGCCATGAGATCTTGTAGGAATATTTCACCCGCCCCAAAAGCTTTGTCGTTAGCATTCTCACTGCAATTTAGTTGGCTCAACCTTTAAATCCCATCTATCACACTAAAGAACTCTGACAATGAAAGCAATTCTAATATACGCTTCCTCCGTAGAACCTAATTACCAGCTACGTTAGACAACCCTGCCTTTCTCCCTTCCCCTTGTAACACAAGCAAACAGTCAAGACAGAACCAGCCTTTAGACTCTCACGTCTACCTAACCTGGTCACTGGAAGCAGACAGACACTGTCCAGCACTTGGCAAATATGCCTGAACCGAACAATTAAGCCCCTGACAGCCCTTTCAAAAGCAGAGAGTATTTACTGTAAACGCCTGACAAGTCTGAAGTCTTCTGCGTGCCTTTCTCGGAAGTCAACACAAGATGACTCAAAACTGCTGCAAACAAAGCAGTTTAACAGGAAGAATGTGCAAAAGGAAGGCAATCGCACATCCCTTTAAGAAATGAAGCACTTTCCAGAGAAAAGCAATAGAGACTCCGGGTATCTTGCACGTCGGGGAGAAGTGTAAGGTATTATTCAGTCTTGAAAAGTTGGACAAGACTCGTCCAGACCAGAGAACGGCCTTCAACTAATTTTGCTTTGACTGTCTGTCCGTACTGTGGTAGAGAGAGAGAGTTTTGGGACTTGAGATGTAGAAGTTCAGAAATATTCAAAGTCTTGTTCACATCCTCCCTCCTCCTTCTCCCTAATTATCCAGCTGGGCTTCAAGAAGTGCAAACTTCTTGAACAGAGACAAGCTTGAATCTCCTTGAATGAGCCCCATTTTAAGGAAGTATCGGACGCCTTAGAAACAACGATAGACCCTACGTTCTAAAATCTTCTTAACTGTTTAGAAGTGGGAAATGGCTGGCCAAAAATCAAGAATAGTGCCTCTGTTCTTTTAACAGGAAAGACAGTTATCTGGGGCATTCTGTGGAGCCTTATCTCTCCAAAGCAAAATGCTAAGACGTGGGCAAGATGGCAAACATTATTCATCCTGAAAGCTTAACCCCATAGTTACAAGAGGCTCATTAACCGTCTAAAATCTCCGGAGCGGGTAACGGGCACCAAATCCAGATTCAAAGCTGAACAAAAAACACGATGAAAAGTCTGCATCTTTCCCGACTTGCGGTAACATTTTTCAGTGCTGCAGCGTGCAGAACTGTTGAACGTGGAAGCCTTTCCAGGATCCAGAGTGAGGTTGCAGAGTCTAAGGACCTGTTTGTCTTCTCGACTCAGACAAACCTTAACAGGCACCTAACGCTTTGCACCTTCACTCTGCTTATATACAAGCCCTTGCCTCAGTGTTTGCATAGGCAAGCTTGATCGCAGTTAGATAATGGGGAGCGAAACCATGACAAAGAATTAAACCTTTTTATTCAACTCCGAATTCTACTCAGAATGATGCAGCAGAGATGGCCTCAACGCCCCCGCTTACTTCCTCATGGCTCATAACCGCAACTGAGGTTGATCCAAGGTGGTTTGAATTCTCTGCTCCATACCTGGAAGCTACCACAATGGACCAACCAATGTAATGTGGCTCATAACTAGCTCGCAGCTGTCAATAAAACAACCAGCCTATATTTAAGTATTCGTGCCAAGCTTCCCATTCTGTTTGAAATAAATTCCCCACTCAGCTCATGTTTACGTTCCTGCCTTTAGTCAGCAAGATTAATCTTTCAACAGAAATACAGTAAGATGTTTCCACACTGTGTTCATTCACAAAACAACAAAAAAAAGCTCCAGCGAATTCCACTTCTTTTCAGACAGTGACCTGGTGGGTGTGCTGTAAATCTCCCTAGCATAACTTCAAGCTGCCAAGACATGCCATCCATACATATTTGGGGAGCCTAAATCAAGGAGAGGTCTTAAATCAGCATTTTGGGGGGAGGGGAGGAGAGGAGGCTGATTAACTCACTGACCAAGATCCAGATCCAACGGCACAACCATTCGCAAGGCCTTCCAGAGGGTCACCTAGTCCAGAAAAATCAGTTTTGCTGGAATACGCTCCAAGGATTGTCTGTGGACATGGATGGGATCTGGATCCAAGGGTTTTTATGTGCCCTTTCTTCTAATGCCTGCTCCTGAAATCTGCTGCCCTCCCCCTCAGGAATCCCACTTTCTTCTCTGTTAACAAGGAAGTCTACAAGGATCTAATGAGCAAATGTTTATGGCGTCCACTGTGTTTCTAAATGTGGTTATCTGTGGGATCTGCTGGGGTTTTCGCTTGTTACTGTTGTTCTAGTATTAGTCATGGTTTCACTGTTTGTTAATCAGTTTGGATGGATTCCTTATTGGCTTCTAAACTTCCCAATGCAAGTCCAATTGGAATGCAAGTTATAATTTAACTAGGTGCTTGCTAATTTGTATCCATCAAATTACCATTGTAAAAAGGAGCAATGCTTTTCACGTGCCACACCTTTTCCCATTAAGGAAGGCTGCTGTGCACTTTGGCCTCGATATCAGACCAAAAATTCATCTGGTGGGGCTGCTTAATTGAGTAGTTGCACAAATTATTGTCTGGCATCAGACCCTATGAATGGCAGTTTCTATTCTTTCAATAACCACCTTGTCTGTGAGAGTATCCCAGTGCAGACCCCAGCTGCTAAGGGGAAAGTCTGGGAAAACTTTCCTCTGATACCTTGGAGAACCTCTTACCACAGTACTAGAAATAAATGAACCAACGTGGGATAACATCACATTTCAAAGGGAGCCCCAAGATCTGAACAGGAACTTGGGAACTGCTGTTGTAATGCTCAGTTGTCTTCCTTGATAGACTAAATGTTTACGCAATTCAACTCCTCCGCAATAATTTATGAAAAGCAACCATAACTCTACCTTCAAACAAAAGGTATGTAAAAATGCAGACTTTATGTCATTACCACTACATCTCACCTTACATGTTACACCATTTATGATTCAGTAAATCTATTAATATAACTCTTGACTATGTCCATGAGACAGCCCCAATCATTCTCCACAAATTCCTCTAGAAGAATGAGGTTGACAGGAACCCTTAAAAATGTATTTTAGTTCACATTTCAGCATTTGCATGGTCCCGAAACAGAAAAATAATGCATCTGAGATTCCAATCAGATATAGATCCTGCATGCAATGTCTCATTTCTTTGAAATAAAGGTGGGATATGCTCCTTTTCTAGAACCAAAAGCATTCCCTAATCTCATTTGGTGTGTGCCAAATCACATCTCGGACTTTTGAAAATCCTTTCTCCCATAAAGGAAACCCAGATTAAGCATCAAAGAGACTTCAGCGCATTTTTAACCCTTTATTAGTTCAAGGAAATGGTGGAACCAGGAGGTTATCTCTACACATTCAGCTTTAAGTCTTTGTTTGTGATGGGCTAAAGGTTGGATTCCACCATCCTCAGTCTTGAAAGGTCTTAAAAGTGATTTTGCAATAATGTTTTATGGAGCAGGTTGGGTGCATTTTTGCACGGAAATGCAAACAATGAAGCTTCAACTGCTATAGCAGAAACCAAAGAATCTATATTCTATATTTCAGAACTACAAGCCCAGAAACACTGGCCAACCCCATCACCTTCAAGTTTATATAGGGTAGAAGGACACCCCAACCCAGAAGAGAAGTCTCCCATTCTTTACTGGCTGTTGACAGTACGAAAGTGAAAAATATTGCACCTGGTTACTCCTGTCTATCTGAAGATCAGGAAGGAAAGGGAAAGGAAAGACAAAAAAGATTTGTGGGAAGACAAACACAAGGCCTCTCCTTCATGAGAACGTGCTTACACCACCCTTGATGCTGAAGGAACAAGGATGCCTTTGAGTTATAAATGCTGTTCTGTCAACCAACACAACAGTCTCTAAGAACGTTACAGAAGTTGCTCCATGAGAAAGAATCTGTTTTCCATGGAAAAGAAAGGAACTAGAGCAGCAAATCCTGGGGGAACTTATTAGATCCTTGAAGAGCCACGGTGATGCCTGAAACCTGCTTTTGCCAGCAGAAGATTCATCTTACATGGATACAAAGTACTGCCAGGAGAGAGGAAGACCCCGAAGATTAGACTTCAACGTTCTCAGATAATTGAAGAAATGCATCTTAGTAGCGAATACTTAGCCTGCTCATAATTTTGCTGCATTAGACTTTTTCTTAAAACTTGCTACCGCCATACAGGATGAATGGCATAATTCCCCTTTGCATGTGGTTCTATCCTGACGTTCACGGTCAGCACGCTGAATCAAGCTTTGGGTTTCCCTTCCTCTGAGCTTACAACTGAGATCCTACAAAGGAAGCAAAGTGCTTCCAAAGGAGGAGAAGAGGAGGTGTTCTTCCACCATAGCTGTCTTTTCTTAAAATAAAATTTCACCACAAGGGGAGAGATTCCAAACTGCAAAAGACCTTCTGCTGAGTTTTGAAAACGATTGTTGTCCAAACAGGATGCAGGCAGAAAAGTTATACAACATTCTCCAGGGCAGGACAGTGAAATTCCTGCTAGTCTCCCAGATTCCCACACTCCCACATAATAAACTTTTACTCGGGAACAGAGGAGGGAAAGATTACTGCAGCCACAGCATTCTGTGAGACAAGAGTGCATTCATACACAATTTCACTTTTTTCCCCCTTCACCGTGGCTACTTAATAGAAAAGTTTCTTGATTTTTCCTTTTCTCAAGCCTGCACCGAGGAAATAGCATTCTGAATCATATCGGCACCACCGCCATGATCCTTGTGGATGTGTTGAACGATCCATACCTGGTCGGGACCTTCAGATGGACCTTCAAGCCCTACATCTGAGTTTGTAGATTGATGGATGACTTCTGCTGCTGGGCTTCCCTTGGCTACACACTTGTGGTGGGGTGGGACTGAGCAACGTTCGTGCTCATGATGCTTCCACCTGAACCCTTGGAAGAGACCGGCCATTGCTCTAAAACAATCAACAATCTTGTTGCATTGCATCAAAAAAACCCAACAACAATACCCTACCACCAACTTTTGTAGACCTCTTCATCAGTTGCATGAAGGATTTATCTTCAGTGAAGAATAGATCCATAGTTGGGTGAGAAATGCTAAACGGTAGGGGCCGAAATAAATTTCCACAGTGATATTCACACCAGTTACAGCAAAATAATAATTTAAAGAATCCTAAAAGTCCCCAAGAACAAAACTGAAGGCAAATTCTGCTCAAGATACCTGACAACCCTGGAAAAAAGTTACCGATATTCCAAAAATAACCAGGCGATGGCAAACCCCCCTATCAGTTTATGCCCTGTTTGAGGGCATCAGCTAATAAGCATATATACATTTTTGTTGACAAAGAAGCAAACCCAAAGAATCAAATCTGGTTTTTTTAAAAAAAATAAAAATCTACACATTGTGATTATTAGATGGTTCTAATAACCCTACAGCTGACAAGATGTTATTAATTGGAGTAACTGACCCCTAAAAACAGTTAGAAGCGTAAATCAGTTAAAACATTATTCTATAAATATCATAAAGATTAAGAGATCTTTACTATCCACCCAAGAAGCTCTTTCGCTAGGAGAATGATTGTGGTGGCAGCACAGAATATTTACTGGGTAGGAATGCCGTTAGCATATACAGCTTGTGCTGACAGCATTATCATTCTTAATCCTCCAAAAAGCTGAAAATCATCACTAAGATTTTCCAGACTGATTAAATACAGTCTGTGAGGGATGGGGAGAAGGCATCTCTCACTCTTTGGGCTGTATTTTTCTGCCTTCACTTTCTAGCCAAATGAGGTTTTGAAAGATCCCCCTTAACCCATTTCCACATCTTATGCTAACAGATCCTTCTTTTCTTGCAGGACTTTGAAACACGGATTGCCAAATTGGGGTGGTGGAGGGAGTTCTTGATGGATTTTCTGGGCTGGTTGCTCGATTTGAATGAGCCCAAGACAAGACATTGTGAAAAGCAACCTCTGGGTTTTACGACTGGGTTCTCCAGCTTCCGCCATGAGATCACTTCTCCTAGAGATGCCTCAAGAGCTAAAGAATGGCCATGTTCACACGTTGTGATCAGCCAGAAGGGAAAGGAAGAGAAGATGCCTCCAGCAAAAATAAGAAGTGAACAGGATATGAACTTGCAAGTATGCAGAGAAGATTACAATCTTCTTAACTCATCCCAATCAATTAAGACTCCAGGCTGGGAACAACACAGAGCAAAACAGCCACAATCATGAAGCAACCGCCCAACTTAATGTAACAGAAAGACAATGATGGCACCCACCATCAGCTAGGACCAAAGGCACGTGGGGACAGTAGGTTTAATGAAGTCCAAGGAGTGATGGGACCAGGAGTATCTGTTTCTAAGCATGGGGCTGCCTAGCTCACATCCCATGTACCTCTTGATGCGTGGGGACTCCCAGCAGACCCTTTCTAGAAGTTCAGGCAGATCCAAGTGTAGCAAGATGGTGGTCAAGAGCAAGATGGTGTATAATGTACCAAGATGCTACGCCACATACAGCTTAATAGCTCTTGACCAGCTTGCACCCAGAAGGAAACTGGCCATTGGGGCAGCAAGCTTAACACCGGTGTCATTCTACAGTGGTCTCACCAGCAGCCTGGCTGCCATGGCTCATGCCAGCTGCAGATGCCAAGTGGCAGAGAAGAAGAAGAAAGGAGAGGAACCATGGAAGCCAAGAAGGCACCCTTCGAGGAAAAGAAGTCCTGAACATCTGGCTGCTCCCGATGGGAGGACCAGAAGGACGTTCCACCTCCATCTCTTATTTTCTTGCAACTGATCTCAAAGCATGCACGGTTGAACAGCAAAGAGATCCCCCTCCCCGGGCCCCCGGGTTTTCTGGACTTAAAACTACCAACCCTGGCAAAATGGGATGGGCTGATGTGATCTATAAATAAAGGTAAGTTGACCAGAAGGCAACCAGGTTTGTTTGTTTTTTTAAAAAAAGACTTCTTAGGAACATGCCTAGAATCACTTGCATGGTGAGATGGGCAGCATATGCAAATCTGAAAAATAAATAAATAAATAAATAAATAAATAAATAAATGCGATTAAAAATAAGGACACCGAGAAAACCAGCAGAAGCAGGAAGCTGGTCAGGGACCTGGCAGACCGCAATGAGCAGAAGGAAGAGGGGTTTTTTTCTGAGAAACTGAATCTTGAATTAATC